GAATGTATTTGTGGTTATAAAATATGATTATGTAATGTTATTTAAATTTGTAAAATTAGTTTAATTGGAAATTTTAAATTTAGGGAAGATGTTTATTTGTAAGTTGTTAAGTTAAATACATTAATTTTAAATTATATAATTATAATTTATTTTCTTTTATTAATTTGGAAATTTAACAGATGATCAATTTTTTGTATTTGTGAACTACTTTATTTTTAATTATTTTATTCTATTATTATTTTGTTTTGCAGATAAATGTTCTATGCTCTTCAGGCTAAAGAGACAAGAGTTTGGATGCATAATTATAATAGAATTTTCTTTCTTCTGATAATCATTAAATTGGAATATATAGGAGTTAAGACAGTTTGTTTTTCATTGTTTAAATATATATTATGTTTAAATAAATTTAATATAAAATATGTTAATACTTGCCAAGGATGATAAATGAGAGTCTGAAAGATCTAGTCAATCGGACACCCCAAACATATTTGCTCGATAGTATCCACATCAGTTCTTACCACAAATGGAATATATGGTGTGTAGGTTTCCATTATTACAATTCTCTGCCTGCTTCAGGATGTCTCTCGACTAGATTTCTCCTTCCTTCCTGCTCCATAAAATATTTATCAGAGGATGTTATCCAATAATAGAAATATGATTGTTGTTTCGCCCACTTCAATTTCTCCATATTTATTGCGACTCCAAATGCTTGTTTATTATGTCTGGCAAATTGTTTACGGCACATAAACAATTCGGAACGCGCCATTGCTTCAATTGGCTCCATACATACACATATATACTAATAACTCATATCGGGCCAACAGATCTGTGACACGCCCCGCAAGGCTAAGAGAAATTGTGCACAAATTGTGTCAATACAACTCGAGCACGAAACAACGAGCCAAACAACGTGTCTCATTCAAGCGCGCTTAAGCACTTTGCCATCAACGGCAACAACAACAAATTATAATCCAATTCCATTGTTTAAGAGAAAGGAAGAGAGTGGGAGAGGGAGAGGGAGATGGGAATTTCATCACCTACAAGCCACAGCGAGGGGGCCAACTGGATGCTGGCTGGGACAATGCGAGATGAGACTGAAATGCTCAAGTGTTCGGCGCATTCGGGTGTAAATTGCAGCATAATCTCTTCCGGATATGATTACGGTCTTAAGTGATCCAAGGGAGGCAGCTGGACGAGCGACACGAAGAGCGACAGAGCGGGGCAGAGGCGGGTCAGAGCCGGGGCTGGGGTGAGGTCACATTGTCATCTTTGGCTAAATGCTGTGACCTATCAGCTTTGTATCTTTATCCTTATCAGCGCGAGTGCAATATGTTGTGATTACAATTTTCATCGTAAAAAGCTAAAGCTGCATTTTCTCATCTTGCCGTTGCACAAGGGCTGTTTTGTCTTGGGCCCAAGTGCTCGGTGCTCGGTGCTCGGTGCTCGCTGCTCTTAGCTGTTAGCTCATAGCTCTTAGCTCTTGTGTCTCGCGCTACGATTATGGGCATTCAGCAAGTAGTGTGGGCGTATCTCTTGCCACACTCAAAAAAAGAAAAAGAAGGAAACAAGAAAACACTTAGTGCTGCACGAGCGTGGAGCGCTGTTAACAACATGTTGGTATTGTTTTTAATTGTGCCGTTAATTGTCGAGGTGACGACCCATACGCCGCCCCCTAGATTCTGCTGCTCACCTATGAGACGACTCTTGCTTGGGCGGGGGCGAGTGTATTAATGCTTAGCAACTATTAAATGTGACCATGTCACTGCATTGAGCAGTGACACGTCTCTTCCTCCCAGTTGACTCTGAATGGCACTACTATAAATACTCAGTCCGACTGGTCTGGACCATGCACACAATAAAGATGCTGACTTGAATTCCATATTGAATTCAGCTAAGGTGAACTGATCAGAAAAGTATTTACAACATTTTCTATTTGGAATTTACTTAGACACAATTTATTTATGATTTATAGAGAAATAATATGCAATTAAGACTAACCTAAAAATTAAGCTAAGGCAACTACTGAGGTATACACAGCTCATCTTCTGCCTCAGCTGCCTCAGATTCGCATTCACCTGCGCAGTGTTGTCCTGCTCTCTACAACAAGACTTTGAATACTCAGTGAGTTTCCCATGTTTTCCAACTCAATTTCCTTTCGCAGTAGCCACAGACACACTTCACTAAACCGCATTAATTTTATACTCATTCACGAAAGTGAATGAGTATATTGGTTTTGTGCAATGTCCGTCTGTCTATTGAAGACTTGAAATTTGGAACCCAGACTCGTGTATATCTCCGATTTATAAAGTGTTAAAATTATCCCAATCCGCCCACTAGGGGCTGTGCGAATCGGAAAATGCACTTTCCGATGAGCCAGAAATCATATTAGTTGAGGAGATAGAAAGCTGAAATTCGGAATGTAGATCCGCGTCGACCACCCAAGATCACGACCTATGGTGGATATATCTACGCTCATTGGGGGCATGTCAAATCGGTAACGCCCGACTGCAACGTTCTTACTTGTTGCATATTGGCTCCAATATATTCTTAACTCTGACTGCATGAAACACTCCTACTTCTATAATCATCTCATCTTTGGACAAATGACAAATATTAATAGTTCATAATAACAATGCTAATAATAATAATGATAAGCCCAATCAAATCGGCATTAATCTCTTTGCACTGGCAGCCCCGCCCCACAAAGAGAGCGCCTTGTATACATAACAGCCTTTACACTAAAGCAAACTATATACTAACTATATTTCCGTTTGCATCTACAGATTCAAACTTCAGCTCTGTCTTTATTACTTTTATCTACTAATTAATATACATATATACATATATATATCGCTTACTTTGACTAGTAATTGGTGAGGCAGGGGAGATGCTTATAATGGATGCGGTTGTCAAGCAAAATCATAAAGCTAAATGCATAAAAGCCAGCCCAGTCCAACCCGAGTCGTATCGCATTATATTCAATCTTTCTCTCTCTCTCTCTTTCCCTCTCTATACATATATATAGCTATAGCATATTCATGGCCTGTCAGGCAGCACAAATGGGCAGCAAGGCGTTTTTGTGTCGGTGGTGTGAAAAAGCGTGTAAGGAGTTGACATAAAGCCGACGACAACGGCAGCGACTGCGACTGCGACGGCGACTGCGACTACGACGACTGGCGACTGGCGACAATGGGCAACAGGGCAGGATGGCATCCCGGATCGCTCTGAAATCTGCATTGGAAGCTGCTGAACCGAACTAATTGAGCCGCGTTACATCAAGTTGAATGCATTTGAATGTATTGCCCGCCGAGCATCATCATCATCAACAATAACAACAACAACACAACAACAACAAGAGATCATCGTCGTACATTGCCACAGCTTCTATCTATCTAGTCAGTTCACTTCAGTGTGGGAAATGGAACAACTGCCTTGAGTCTTTCAGCCATTCAGCTACACTTGCCTAGTATGTTAAGCATATTCGTGCGAGCACTCACCCAGCACACAGCACACAGCATTCAGCATTCAGCACACAGCACAAGCATTCAGCAGCAGGACGAAATGCTTAACTCGATAGTTCAGGTCTCAGCCTGCTAACATAACTTTTTCATACAAATATTTGAATGCAACTGAAATAAAACTCTGAATGCCTTTTATTCAAGTTGCATTCGGCGAGTCCAACTGGAGAGCTCGCGCTAGTTGGACTGATTGAGTGGCCCTGTCATTTGGGCAACTGAACAACGGAACGCTCAGCCTCAACTTCCTAAACAAGCTGAGAGTACTGGTGGGGAGGGCACGACTAAGAGACTAGCTTGCTGCTTATGTCTTATATTAATTAGCGTGCTTCTATTATATTTATGTAAACTAACTTGATAAACATAATCTTCCATCTTCCCACTAACTTCTACCTTCTTCAATCTATCTTCCATCTTTCCCCTTTCTGTTTTCCTTACTTTCTTTATTCTAACATCTTTCGCTCGTCTCTTTTCTTCCATCATTCTTTGGCTATTTTTTCCGTAGTCCTTCTTCCTTTCTTTTCATTTATTCTTCTTTTTCATTCATTGTTCTTTCTTATTTCATATTCCTTGTTCTTTCTTTCTACTCTTCTTTGTTTCTCTTAACTCCTTATTTCACATTCTTTATTCCTTACCCTTTCTTCCAATTCATTTCGCCATCTTCTATCTATTGTCATTCATAAATTTTTCGATTCTTGCATTGATACTCCCTATGGAATCGTGTTCTAACGTCCGATTTCCTGCTGTCTACCTTTGGGGGATGAACCTTCCACCAATTACGTGCTCAAGCCGTGGCTTAGTTCAATATTGATACAATTTAATCGAACCCCAATGACTGAAAATGTATCAATGGCACTTTTCCTGGCTTTGGGTCAACAATGAACTGAACAGCCACGAAACGAAGTATCGTCAGCCTCCAACACGTGCAGTCCAGTTCAGTTTAGACCCATTGAATGGCCGCATATGGTGACACAAACAGAGGCTGTAAAGTTTTAAATCCAACACGTACATCAGCTCCAGTTGAATTCGAGTACCGTGTAAGGGTGCCCGTTGCAACACCTGCTGTGCCGGTCAGCCCTCTGATAGCTTTAATGAACACACACGAACTGTGCGACAGCCAGTTAATAATAACATGTTAATAATAACAAATTGTGTTGCGCAAACCCAATGAAATAGGCCAATTACAACGTATAATCGTTTCTTTCAAATGTATATTACAGGCAATGGGCGGAGCGGCGGCGGTGTCTATAACAAACGGAGATGATCTAGCCATATCCGTCAGTCCGTCCAATTTGACAATGACAGAAGCAGGAGACTGCCCATTGATTGTAGAAAGACTATAATTGTGTTGATCGATAACTATAGTCATCCTTCTACTATCGATTGAAATTGATATGCTCACTTCAAACGTCTTGTAAATTAAATCCACAATCAAATTATTGAAGAATTAAACACAGTTACACAAAGTTAGTAGAAAACACGTCATTGCTTGTACAAAAATAGATTTGATTTAATTTCTTGATCTAATATGGGCAATTAATTGTAATAAAGTTATGAAAATTCGGATGATATCAGAGTAAATGCTGAGTGCAGCAATGATATAATCCTCTTCACAATACTGATTTTTATGACGTCCGACCATTAACTGTATATCATACACCAAGTATAAAGAAAATAGAAGAAGGCTTATGCCCAAATAAACCATTTGCACTATGGGATCATCCATTACAAAAGCAAGGATTCCAACAGCAAATGTTGCCAACCCCGTCACACATAGAAATGGACCATATCCAGTAAAGTCGCATGGGAAGCACATTGCAAATATAGTGAGGGAAATACAAATTAGTACGACCGTTCCAAATGCATATAAAATCTGAAGAGAATTAGATAAAAGAAGATAAGGACTAAGGATGCTGCTAAATCTCTGTATCTATACTTAAAATATGAGGTCTCTAGCTTCAGTTATTCAATTTAGATGTGGTTCGATGAACGGACGAACGAGCAGAAAGACATCATACACCATAAGTACATTTTCCTTACTATTTATGAACTACTATTCTTTGAAACCTGAAGTATAATAGCTCACCAAATTTGTTTCATAGCAAACGGTAACAGAGCAGACCATCAACGTAGTGAAGATAGTATAAACAATTAGTAGAAAGTAATTGATGGGCACTTTTCGAGATAGTCGTCTACAACAAAATATTACGGTACTACCGACGAGCATTCCACCGCCGCCTACATGCATCAAATACCTCTCCCTTTGGAACATATTTATTGCAAGAGGCCAGAAGAGGACTCCTACAGTACATCCAGCTGTAAAAGCCATTTGAAACTGAGAAGACAGTCATATAAGATTCATTTGAGATTAATCCTTTTGGAAAAATGCTCTCACGCCAATGATCACGAGGACTTTACTGATGAAATGACGCCGTGTCCTACCATCCGTCCAGTCTGTGCCTTCCGTAAGGTCATCGTCCTCCCTATACTGAGTGCGCCGGAAATTCTCCATTTCGGTTCCTTTCGTGATTTTGTTGTGGATTCGTGTATCTTGTAATTTGTTTTATTGTATTGTGTATTCTAATATTGTAATATGAATTTCTTTTAAAACTAACTAGATTATACAGTGTTTACATGTGTATACGTATAAATTAATCAATATGCTTCGTTTTTTTGGATTTACCCCAATGAGCCTCGATCAGATTGCACTATCTCCGTGATTAATTTTTATTCAGAAATAAACTCTAATTAGCAAAGTATAAAGTTATCCTCGGAGCTTAAGCAATTCTATTTCATTTTTCTTGTCAAAAATTTGTTTTTTTTTTTTTTTTTTTGATTAAGAACTGACTTCATTTGGGAACATTTCATTGTTCCGTACTCCGCATTATAGGACATTTCATTGGACCATTTTCCAGGAATGATGACATTATGAAGGGCCTTAACTAAAATATGTCATTAACGTAATCAAAGACAAATCACAGGACATTCCATCAAAGACAATTACACAAAGTCTAGATTACTTACGCTGCTCAAAAGAATTGTATAAAAAAGTTTCGCCACATAAAATCGAAAGGAATAGCATATCTTACAATTTCTCAAATGAAAAGAAAAAACCTTACCAAGATTGAAAAAAGCAACGACCTTTCGCAAAAGATGAAACTATTAAGAAACTCTTGTTTTTCTCCCTTTGTGCTGCTAAAAATCATGTTATTTATTTTACTTTATAGTCTCACAATTTATGGAATAGCTTTTATTCTTAGTAAGTTCATGTTTAGTTTAGAGTTTGTGTAGTTTAGTGATTAATTAGATTAGGGGTTTGCCCTACCCAAACATGTAAAATACATTTTATATGTAATATGTGCACACATATATACCAAATGTGATATTTTATTGCCTGGGTCGAGACGAAGTTTTAGAGTCAGTTACGCCCCGAAGGAAAATAGGTGTAAAATTCAATTTACAAACAGCCTGGAGCTTATTTTTAGTAATAGCTATGAAAATACATTGTTAATATTTTAAAATTTATGCTCTTTTTTTTTGTATTACTTTCGATAAAATTACAAATCTATAGTTTTTTTTTTTTTTTTTTTTTTTTTTTTTTTTTAGTGAATAGCAATAATGGACATAAATAATATTTTTAGGGGTTTTGTTCTATAATAGGTTAAGTTAATTTTAATACATTTTAGTTTGGTTGTAAATTATTGTAATGTTAAAGTGTAGAATATATATATTTTAAGAGTTTTAGTTTCAATGCTTAGGTATAACTGTTTCGAGTACAATCAAATAATTACAGAGTATGTGGAATAATATATAGAATAATATTTTTCTTGACAAATTATACAAAATTTCATATTTCATTAACAATCATTTTTACGTGTTACTGCATTATATGTATGTATGTTGGCTTGATTCTAAGGTAAAGAATCGCAATATAAATCAAATATTTTGCAGTTTTTTGTTTTTGCTAATATGTTTAATGTTTATGTTGTATAACATCTATGGCCAATTTCACTTTTGACATGGATGAGAAGAACAATTGAATCACGCCTTGGTTGCCGCTGCAGGCGAACGAAACTTAAATAACACTTAACAAATATAAATTGCTTATAGACCTTAAAGCGCTACGGATTCAATTCACACTTTACAAAAGTGAATTAATCTAGACCAAAGCAAAAAAATGCACGCTCACAAATACGCAGATTTACTTACAAGCTACAAAATCGGACTAAAAAATAAACAAACAAACAAAAAAAAAAAAAAAAAAAACGGAATCTTTACAATAGCTATTAATACGTATTTTTATATAATATAGTATATAGATATCAATTACAAATAAGTTGGTATTTTAGTTTGTCGTTTGCCATTCGCCAGTTTTAGTGTTGTTTTTGAAGTGTTTAAATTTAATAAATATTAGTTCTGTTTTAATCCATTTAGTTTGTTTGCTTTTGTCATTTGTTGTTATTAGCCTAATATAAACGCTACACACTAGGAGTTATTCTCACAGTCGTCGGGTTTGTGCTTAGTGCGTAAATTGCTCAATAGATCGGCACAGTTGTTGACCATCATAAGATATTCGCCATTCTCCAGATTGCCTGTTCCTGATATCTGTTCACGATTGTTAACATCTCCAAGGTCGCCTCCAGCCGGCCCGCTGCTAACATTATAGCCTTGGCCCGAGGGCGATTTCTCGTTTTGTCTACAAATTACACAATGTGATTCATATAAGTGAATCAGTCTTAATTTAAGCTCGACTTCGACTTTACCGATTGTGAGTTATACTGCCAAGCATATTCCGGGACATAATCACAGCATTTTCCAATTCCTTCAGTAACAACGAGTTCTTCAGATTCGCATGCAGCTGCATTGCCGACTGCGTCGTCGTATACAACTTGTTGATCACATTGTGCACCAGGGCCTCGGCTAGAAATAATGAAATTTAGAATTGCATTTAGAATTTCTAATCTATTCTCTAGAGTTAGGGATGTGAGCAGTGGAAGCATGTGGCTTGCGAGTTTCGTATATTCGATAACGAACAATAATTTTATGTAGTGCCTCGAGAATTGGAATGAAAACTTTGGCAAGAGTCTATAATATCTAAGGGAATGAATGAATAGCTTTGGAATATACACAATAGATATTACAATAGATATTATTAACTAATTATAATTAACTAATTAACAATGAATAGACCTCGTATAATAAATACAATTTTTCGTCTATCAGTGACTGATCGAACTGCACAACTTTTGCAGAGGTTCGTTTTATCTAGCACATTCTCAAGGCCATGATTTTCATTTATAAGGCTTCTCTGCTTAATCTCAGATTCATCTAATCTAGAATATTCAACCTCTTCCACTCTGGCACTCACATTCAGCAGTTTCGTAGTCATCCCCGAGTCCTCCCGCTCGTTGCTTGGGCGTGGCCGCATTGGGCGCGTTGTTGTTCACTTTGCTCTTGTGATCGAAGCCCAAGTTACGGGGCCTGGGCGGCACCACTGGCTTATTGCCTGCAGCGATGTTGGGAGTCTCTTCCGAGCTGGAGTCGTCCTGCATGTTTGTGCCTGCATAGATGGATACAAATTGATTAATTTGTTCTAGCTTCCCATAGACATAGTCAAGAAATTTACCACTGTTGAAACTTGGAGCCTTGCGTCGATTGCTGTTGGCGTTGGGGTTTTTGTTGCTGTACTGTCGTGAGGTAGCTGCAAGACACGAGAGAGTTGATTAATTTCATGCTCGGAGTTTAGCTAATTTCATATTATATAGATGAGTATTGATCCAGCCTTGATGGCAAAGCCTGTGACAAGCGCATGCTCTAGTTTAGTAAGTACAGAGCATCTTCAAGTCGAGCACTCTTTTGAACAGACACATCTTAAACCAGAATACCCACCAATAGCTCCATTGCTGCGTCCTTGTCCGCTGCCCGCACTCCGCAATCGATTGATGTCTTCCGGCTCCGAGTCGCTCTGTAAAATAATCAATTTTAGTTAGGCTGCTAAGGTTAAGGATCATGTGGCATCTACTTACGACTTGATTGAGTACATTCATGGAGTTGCTGGACGCGCCGAGGGCCGATTTGCCCTGCAGACTGTTCCGCTTGCTGGCCGAACGAGTCACGTTGCCGCTGCGATGCTGGGCCACTGGCTTCTGGGGCGTGCCGTTGGACTTGCTGGCTGCAGATGAGATGAGAGAAGAGAGGAGAGAAGAGAGAAGAGAAGAGAGACAATTAGTTCGAGCTGAAGCGAGGGGGTGGGGAGCTTGTCGTGGCGCTTACGCTTGCCAAAGTTTCCCATATGCAGATCACTCAGCGAGCAGGCGCGACGAATGGACGACTCCTCAATGGGTATGGGATTGAGCAATTTGGGGTTACCTGTAAGTAAGGCGTAGACGGTTATTAGTTAGGCGGGGTTCACATGCCGGGGCAGGTGCTACACGAATCAAGTCTGTGCCGCAAATAAAGCAAATAAATATGCGTGTGTGAAGAGTACAACTTATATGGTACGAGTAAGAGTGTCAGAGAGAGAGAGAGAGAGAGAAAAAAAAAACAAAAATGTTTTTGTGGATTTTACAACATCGAGGCTCAAGCACTCAAACCTTGTAGACGATCGATGATCAGCCCCTGATGAGCATCGCTCTTGGCATTCACTTGATCGTCATCCGCATCGCGATGCATGAACTCGATGCCATCATCATCGTCATCATCGTCGGCAATCACCTCCTTGGCCAGCTCCACATCATTGCTATCGCCATCGCCATTGCCGTTGTCATTGCTATGCGTGCGATGGTAGCCAAAGTCGGAGCTCTCCAACACATCCGGCAAGCTGCAATTCCGGCGTATGTGACGCGCATACGCACAGAGATCCGCATCACTCGGGGCCATCTGATCGGCGGCCAATTGTGACTGCTGGTCCTGGGCACGCGCCAGCATATCGAAATTCATGGTCAAACTCTTCACGTAGCCCTTTTCCTTCGAGTTGCAGGCAAAGGGACGCAAGCGTGTCTCGGTGGCCTTTCTGATCTGCTCAATCTTGCGCTCCTCCATGGCTATCAGTTTCTCTATAATGTCTATTTTCTTGGCTATGTCCTGGCACTGATTGCTGGTGGAGTTGGCTCCACCACCGCCACCCGAGCGCTCCACATTATCTCTATTCTTTTTCTGCTTGACCCGCTCCTGCTGGATGTCGTCGACCACAGCCTGCAGCTCGGGCTTCTTATACAGCTTCAGGCTCTGCATATTCTCCATGTTCTCGGGCGCATTTCCATTCTCGGCAAAGTACATCTCAAAGCTGCGCTCCCCACCATAATCGCTGGGCAGACTGCCCACCAGAGGCGCCTCCGTCTCCGCCTCCAGCTCCAGTTCTGTCTCCGTTTCCGACTCAACTGCGTTGCTATTGATGTCATTCAGGTTGGCTTGCTCCCTCTTCGCACTGGGCGTATACTTGATTTGCGAAACAGTATTGAAGCGCACACTGATCTTCGGCCGTGACTTCTGGCGCACGCTCGTGGCCCGGCGACTGCTCTCACTGGTGTCGAAGCGCGACACCTTCTTCAGGCAGCTGTGCGTCGCCAAGGCGCCGCTGCTCACCGAACACCTCATGGCCGACGCCGTGGGTCGGGGCTGAGTGCGTTGCTGAGATCGCTGCTTCTCCCGCTCGAACTTGAGCAAATTGTGCTCAAACTGTCGCACCACCGTGGCCGTTCTCGAGGTGCCCACGCCGGCCTGGCTCTTCTCCACATTGCACGTGAGCGTGGAGACCAGATTGTGCGGCTTGGCCGGTACGGGTGGCTTCGACGACTTGAGCTGCTTGCGCACAAACATCAGCTGATTGCTCGACTGGCCCTGAGCCGGGGCGTACGACTGCCCGTTCGACTGCGCCAGAGGATTCGAGTTGCGCTGCTGCTGCTGCCGCTGCTGGGCAAAGTCTGTGCTGAGACTCTTGTTCACGCCCGACGTGTACTGCTTGTTCTTCGAGCGCAGCGTGGGTATGTGCTCCGCAGTGGCTGCTCCTCCTCCTGCTCCGGCCGCTGCTGCTGCTGGCACTGAGGCGAGACGTGGATAGGTTTTCGAGCTGGGCAGCGGAGTGAGCGGCTTCAGGTTGTAGCCAGTGACATCGAAGCTGTCATAGGTGGCTGCCGAGGCTGCAGCCGCCGTCTCCTGCCGCATGTAGTAGTCGAAGCTGCCGTAGGCATTCGGACTGCTGCCATACGACTTGGACACGGGTCCGTGCAAAATGAAGTTCCGTATGCCCGCATGGCACTGCATCGCCTGCAGTGGGCGGTGCGGGTCGAGCGAGGGCGGATCGAGCGGTGCGCTTTTGCAGTCGCTCTCGTCGGAGAGCACGCTCTCGAGACTGTTGCAGTAGCTGCCGCCATCGGAGAGCAGCGACTCCTGGCTGAGCTCATGCGGCAGCTGGCCGGAGCTGCTCAGGAAGAAGCTGGCACTCGAGTGGCGCTGCGTCTCCAGAAAGCGCGCCTCCTCGAGCCGCTGCTGGGTTTCGACGAACTGCTCCGGCTTCAGTATGTCAGAGAGCGAGACTTTGCGCTCGCACTGATAGATCTCTCGGTAGACATAGT